CTGCTTCCCTCTGGGAACCACTAAACTTATGTAGGTGTCCATGAGTCTCTGTTTGCCTTGTTTATTTTTTCTTTCACTTTTATATTCCACATGAAAGTGAAATATGGTTGTCTGCTTTTCCTAAATGACTTATCTTGTCCAACATGATGATTTCAGATCCATTCACGTTGTCACAAATGGCAATATTTCGTCTTTTCTTATAGGTGTGTAATATCCATTGTATATATGTACTACATCGTCTTTTATTTAATCATCTATTAAATGGCACTTGGGATGTTTCCATGTCTTGGTCACTATGACTAATACTGCTATAACATAGGGGTGTACATATTTTCCCAGAAAATAAAGATTTTGATTATTGGTTTAACTTTGTTTGTAGTAATTGCTCTCTTCATTTTTCTTTTTTTCAAATTCAGTCTTTAAGATATGTTTTTCTAGGAATTTAACTATTTTTCTAAATTGTCCAATTTGTATTTTTTAAAATAATTTTCGTATCACTGTGATGTAAGTTGTCATAGATAGCTTTTCTATTTTGATTTTATTTATTGGGTTTTTCTCTCTTTTTCTGGATGAGTAAGATTAAAGTTATATAATTTATCTTTTCAAAAACAAGCTCTCTATTTTATTGATTTCTAAAAATTTTTTAGTTTCTATTTTGTTTATATTCACTCTGATCTTTGTTAGTTTCTTCCTTCTATTTCCTTTAGGCTTTTTTGTTGTTTCATTTCTAGTTTAAGTGTAAGTTTAGATTGTTTATTTGAGATATCTCTTGTTACTTAGCTTGGGAAAATATTTATCACTTGTATTCACAGCATTATAGGTTGGCCTGTATTGCTATTAATTTTCCCCTTAGGAGTGCTTTTGCTGTGTCTCATAGATTTGGGTTTATTGAGCTTTCATTTTCATTTATCTCATTGTATATTTTCATTAATGCCTAAATATCAGTATTAACCCATTTATAGTTTGGTAGCATGTTATTAGGCTCTATGTGGTTGTGTGATTTTCATTTTTTTATACTTGATGTTTAGTTTCATAACATTGTGGTGAAATACCTTAAAAATACCAATTAAATCCATGAGGTCTAATGTGTAATTTAAGCCAGCTTTTTCATGTTGATATTCCATCTGGGAGATCTGTCTGTTGATTTCGATAAAGTGTTAAAGTCTCCTACAATGACGTATTACTGTCCATCTCACTCTTTATGTCTGTCAATATTTGCTTTATATATTTAATGAAACTGTGCTGGATGCAGAAATGATTACCAGGATTATATTCTCTTGCTGAATTGATCTCTTTTTATGATAGCCTTTTTTTTGGTCTCTTATTATAGATTGATTTAAAATCTATTTTGTCTGATATCAGTATTGTAACACCAGCTTTTACATTTGAGTACATTCTTTGACTCCTCATTTTGGCTGCCTCCCTGTTTGTTTCTGTGTACCAGGTGTGCTGTTAAAGCTCCAGGTCTCAGTAGAATTACCATATGTAGTATGTGTCCTGTGGGGCCCAGTGTCACAGGGTTTCTGGTCACTTGAGCCTAGGTAACCAGCTGTGCCCTTTGTTTGGGTCGTGTTAATCTCTTGTTGTAGTTAAGACATGATTGCTATTGTCACATCAGTGGAAAGGATTGACTCTCAGACTGAGTGGACATGGGGACTAGCCATATCCACAGCATATAAGCTGCTACGTGGTGGCTGGCTCCACAAAGCAGTATTTGCCCCAGTGGTTACTGATGTTTGCTGAGACCACCCTTTGGATGTGCCCATTGTGTGGTCAATTGAGTGGTGTTCTGCTTTGGTCTGAAGCTGGCCATCAGGTATTTTGGTACTGGAGTCTTTTGGGAGGGGATCCTGTGGAGATCAACATTAGCTACGGCCTGTGACTGCCAGAGCAGTACCTGGTGGGAGCTAAAAAGCAATCTGCAACTGGTCACTGCCTCTGCTGAATCTGGGGGTGCATAGTAGAGGTCATAAAACCTGTTGCCACTAGCACTGGGCATGGGGCAGCTCAACAAATTGGACAGGGCACCCCAAGGCAAGCTGCCAACTTGGCTGCCAGTAAGGCTCAGAGAATGGAAGAACTTTGGGCAGTACGCAAGTTGGGTAGCTTGGGATTTCAGGGCATCACCGGTGGGAGTGGCGAGTGGCGTTTACCCATTTCAGATTTGTCACTAGGGGAGGGCTGAACATAGGAAAGATGGCAGTTGTCCCTCTAGCCCTTGCCCCAAAGCCACAAATCTCAGTCTTTTACTGTATGTCTCTGTCACCTCCTTTTGTTTCATCATAATATTCTTCCATTTGAAATTCTCTAATCATCTGTCATCATTTTCTTATCTCAGCCCTTGAGTAGTTAGCTTATTTTGTTATAAATATGTAATTAATAGTCATTGCATCACTGTATAATATATCAACTTTTCCTTTTAAAATGTTTCTTATTTTAATTCACTCTTCTACCTGCAGATTTAGTTGTATACTTATATCTAATTTTTCCACCAGTTATGTTTGCTTTAACTGTTGTTTTTCTAAACAATTCCTCACTCTTAGAATCAATTGGTTTACACATATTTCTCTTGGCTTCACAGGCAGACTTCATTGTCTATATGAAGCAATACATTTTTCCTTTAGGTCTGCTTAATTAACATTCTGGGATTTTCTTATACAAAGTTAAATTCTTTTTAAATCTGTGGGGATTTAAACTGGTATATATGTATAGAACATCTGACTAATTTATTTTTCAGAAATGTGGTAGTAACATAGTTATTAATCCTACTGGTATAAGAACTTTTGGATTTTAAAATTAAGATTGATTTTATTATTGAAAACTTTTTGAACAAGAGGTCTATTGCTGCTATGAAAGAAGCTTTAGAAACATTTATTAACAAATGATCTAATAAGCCAGATGAGATTCTGGGTATTTAGAGTTTCCAATTTTATGAATACATATAATTTGAGAAAAAATAATTTGTTTCTGAATCACTTTGAAATTTTGTAACAAGTGTTAAGCATGACCTAATTTTATTTTACTATTGCGTGATCGATCTTTAGTGATTGTAAAACCAAATGTTCCATCAAATAATTTTTAGAAGACAATACTCCTTTGTTTACCTAATTGTAACCTAAAACTTTAGAAAATTCTCTGCCTATAATTTATTACAAAGTTAGTGATTGCTTCAATTTGAGAAAAAACGCATGAGTGTAAAGATAGACCAATATTTTTTCATGTCCTTATGTTATAAAAGTTTTTTTGGCTCCTACAAAATATAATAATTTTAAATTTTAAGTGTTTCTCTTTCATTAAAATGCTTTTTAAATAGTCAAACAAAGCATCTATCAAATTGATATTCTTTTGTTCTATAAAATTAATGTAAGTAATGTATACATATGACATATTGTTAAGTTTGAAATTTACATAATATCTCTTAAATTTTTTATTTATTAAAACATTAGAGTAGGGTGATGAGGAATTGATTCTATTACAACATTTAAACATTGAGGTTATGAAAATATAAAAAATATATTTTGACTTTTATTTATCTTTCCATTTATCTGTCCGTGGACTCATTTTTTTTTTTGTTTGATTGTTTGTTTACAAAAGTCAATATACCTCTCAGATAATGTACATGATTGAGGAAAAAGTTTCCCATTACATGCATTTGAAAATAAAGCATCACTTAGCAAATTCTTTTTTACCTTTTAGAAATTACGTAGATTCAAAATTGTGCAGGTAATAAAGAAGTCAACAATGAAAAACTTGAAGTTTTATTAAAGAAAACAATAATTTTATTTAATTTTTTTTATGGTAAGTAATTTGCTTTAATGTGTTTATTTAAATGCTTAAATATTATAAAGAATATGAAAGAAATTTAAAGAACTAATGTGCAATCGCAACATAAATTTAATTTAAGTAAATTTTTGTTGGAGTTAAGCATTGATAACTGAAAGCTTACCATTTGAAGGTTTATAATTCAGTGTCATAAGTATTCACATTGTTGGGCAGCTGCCACCATTTATTATGTTCTAGAACTTTTTCATCACCTGAATATAAATGTCTCACACGTTAAGTACTCATTTCCCATTTGCTTCTTGTGTTTAGCTCCTTGCAACCAATAATCTGATTTCTCTTTCTCTCTGGAGGTACTTATTCTGCATATCTTACACAAAAGCAATCAGGTAATAAGTCACCTTTTGTGTTTGGTATGTTTCACTTAGCAAAATGTTTTCAAGGTTCATCCACATTGTAGAATGTGTCAGAGTTGTATTTCTTCTTATTACCTAACAGTATTATATTGTATGTACAGATTAACAATAGCTATGATATTGTGTATATCTATTCAACTTTCCATGAGCATTTTGGTTATTTCCTCTTTTGGTTATTATAAATGGTGCTTCTATTTACATCATTTTCAAATATAATTGAAAAAAAATCCCATTTAATAGACATATGGTATTTACATTTTTTGTTTTCCAAGTCTAACTTTAAAGGTATTTTTTAAAGATTACTGGGAAAAATACTTTTGAAGTCTTCTACCAAAAACATTTAGCAAATGCCTTTTGGTTAGAGTGCTTCAATTGATGCAGAAAAGTGATTGCTGTCCGAACTTAAACAAAGTGTGTCTTCACCTGTAAATGATTTGTTTCTTACTTTGTGATTTCTGTGCTTTAAGAAGCTTGGTAGACAATTATGATTTCATTCTAGTCTTTCTCTCTGATTTGCTTATTAGTTTATTTTTCATATCTGTTTACTTAGTTCTTTGGAGGCATTTAACAGGTTCACCCATAATTTAACATGGTCATCTACAAGTATAAGCAACACATTATTTTAAGTTGTGAATGTAAAGAAAAAGATCTTGAAGGAAATTAAAAGCACTACTCCATTGAATGCAAGGATGACAAGAGAGTGATAAAGCCTTATGGTTGATACGGAGAAAGTTTTAGTGGCCTGGGCAGAAGACCAAACCAGCCACAACATGCCCTTAAGCTAAAGCCTAATACAGAGCAAGGCTCAAAGTTGCTCTAATTCTGAGAAGGTTTAGATATGAGGAAGCTTCAGAAGAGAAGATTGAAGCCAGCTGAGGTTTGTTCATGAAGCTGTCTCCATAACATAAAGTACATAAAAGTAAAGCAGCAAAGGCTGACGTAGATGTTGCAGCAAATTATCCAGAGAACTACCTAACATGACTAACAAAGGGAGCTATACTATACAACCAGTTTTCATTGCAGACAAAACTCTATTTTGGAGAATATGCTACATGGGACATTCACAGGTAGAGAGGCTAAGTCAAAGCCTGGCTTCAAAGCTTTCAAGGACAGGCTGACCCTCTTATATGGACAATGGTGTTAAGCTGAAGCCAGGGCTCATTTTCCATGATGAAAATCCTAAGGCCTTAAGAATTATGCTAAGTCTACTCTGCCTGTGTTCTATAAATGGAACTACAATCCTGGATGATAGCACATCTGTTTTCTCAGTATTTTAAACCTTCTTTTGAGTCCTACTTGGGAAAAATAATCTTATTAAATACTTCTACTCATCTGTAATGTGCCTTGTCATCTAAGAGCTCTGATGGATGTGGACGCTGAGTTTAATGGGGTTTTTATGCCTGCTAGCGCCACTCTTTCTAAATCAAGGAGTGATTTTGACTTTCAAGTCTTATTATTTAAGAAGAAAATTTTATGAGGCTTGAGCTAGTGATTTGTCTAATGATCTCTGCAAAAAAAAAAAAAAAAGATTGAAATCTTTTCTAGAAAAGAAAATATTCCTTATTCTAGAGGTCATTTGAAGATTTATAATTCATGGTAATAGGTCTGATAACAACAATAACAGAGGTGGGGAAGAAGTTGATTTCAAACCTCACAAATAACTTTGAGGCTTTAAGACTTCAGTAGAGGTAATACCCGCAGATGGTGGAAAAAGCAAGAGAATGAGAATTAGATCTGAAACCTGAAACCCTGATTAAATTGCTGCCATCTCATGATACACTTTAATAGATAAGAAGTTATGCTTATGGACGGTCAAAGAAAGTGGTTTCTTGAGATGGAAATACTCCTATTGAGGAGTACTATGCTGTGGAGACTGTTGAAATGACAACAAATATTTAGAATATCGCAATCATAGCTGAAAAAACAGTAGTCATGGTGAGACAATTGATTTCAATTATGAAGTTCTACTGTAGGTAAAATGATATCAAACAGCATTGATTGTTCACGAAAGGAAGAGTCAACCGATATGGCAATGGTCATTGTAGTTTTACTGTAAGAAATTAATGTCGCAAGTCCAACCTTCAGCAATTAACACCCAGATCAGTTAACAGCCGTCAACATCAAAAGGATTATGATTTTCTCAGAAGATGGTTAGATGTGTTGGCAATAAATTATTTTAATTAAGGTACACATATTACCTTGTCAGACATAATGCTATTGCACACTTAGTAGACTACCGTAGAGTATAAACATATCTCTATGTTCACTGGGAAACCAAAAAGAATTGTGAGATTGTATTGTAATATTCACTTTATCAATGTAGTCTAGAACTGAACCTGCAATGCCTCCAAGGTATGCTCATCTGAAATAATGCCAGAAATTAAACTTGTCTTGCAATAGGTTCAATGAAAAGAAGAACAAAGGCTTATAAATAGGCCCTATAACCTAGTTAGGGCATCAAGGAAGAGTTTCCTAAGAAAGCATGATGCCAATGAGATACGCAGTTTCACATAAATTTTAATGATGATAGCAGGAGTGTTTTTCATGCAGGAAGCAGTTTGACAGTTTGAAAAACTGAACGTTCAGTGTAATCAGAGAAGAGGAGCATACAGGGAAGTTGGTAAAAGATGAATCAAGGAATAAATAGAGATCAGATTTGGCTTGACCTTGGAGACCTTGGTGTGATACTGCTTGGTCTTATTTGGTGACTATTCAAAGAGTTTAAACAAAGTTAGAAGTGTCCATTTGTGTTCTAAGAGATCATTTTGGCCATAGAATAAATAACAGTTTAGATGTGTAGAGA